ACTTAAAGAAACACATGGATATCGTGTTCTCACAGACTGTAAGTACAAGTATACATGTACATGCATATATCTGCACCTACATGTACATATACATGTACACTGTACATGCATTTTTATACAGTATCGACTAAATTTCTTTACATACATGTGCATGTACATCCTCTAAATTCCTCTCTCTGTTTCATTACAGGTGTCCCTTCCCTTTCATCTCTCATTTTCTATGTCCCTTCCTCTTACCCTTACACTACACTGTAGCTTCATTTATTGCATAGTCCATGTTGTTTGCATACAATTAAACAGTCATTTCCCCCCTCTCTCTCTCTTTTGTCTAGTCTCATTCCTCTGACCTTAAGCATCACTTTCATTTTATTAAAATTATTATTTGGAGTCTCGTGCATACATTCATGCATACTGTAGCATGCATGTAATTTCCCCCAAAAAGCTCCCAGCTTGATCCAGTCTGCCACTTCATCTTCTTACATTATAATCAAGCCTTACTATTGGCATATTTGTCTTCACTTTCTTTGATCTGTTTCCTCTTCCCTTTTTTAGCTGACTGGCCTTGTGACCTCATTCTATGCCACAATGAGCGAGCACTATACTGATAAATTTTTCATGGAGCAATTGAAAGAGATCGGGTTTCTGGCCCATTTTGAGTGTTTACTAAACTCAGCAGGTATCGATGCATGCATGTACATGGACGTGTACTGCGTGCTTACTTCTTTTAAAGTTTAATTAAAAATCAGTTGTACATGTATATTGCTTTTATGATATCCATCAGTGGTCTCTGTATATGGCATATGTTTGAGCTGATTTTGCTCCAATAGCCATGGGCTATTGTTCTTCGTTTCTTTTAAAAGTTGACTCAAACGTGACCTCCAATTTTTGTTATATTTTCTCAGTGATGCCCGTAGACCATCTATAATGATAGCTTTTTAAGTTGTGGGCATTTTTTGAGGCATGTGAAACTTTGGTACATGTATGTTAAAGACTTACAATGTACATGTACATGTATATGTGTATGTTACATGTACATGTATATAGACTTTACCGGTCACTTCAGTTGTCATTGTTTGGCAGACACTGTTATCAAAATAGTTCTTATTTTATATGAATATGACCTTGAATAGGTAGCACTTAGTATGGGTACTATACAATGTACATGTACATTACACTTATTACAGTCATTATGTACATAATAGTACAAATATGTACACACAACCCAGTCATGTATTCATGTTCTGCGACAGTCGGTGCATGTACATATTTTGATGTCATCGCGCATTCTTTTGGCATATTTCTCAGTAATTGTTCGTTTCATTGGCTTCTGATTATGTTTTCCGTAACTTAACATTTTCTTTAATGTTTGCGTCCTTTTTTTGTTATTATTGCTTGTTCCGTGTCTGCTTCGTTAGGGGAAGAGCAGGCAATGTTGGAAGATATGTATGTTGGCGTTCTGGAAATGAGAAATGTCAAGTTTCAAGTAAGTGATCTATGAATTAAAATATGTTTTATATCCTTTTTTGCCTTTTCTCTCTCCCTTTCTTTTGCTCTCTCCTCTCTCCTCTCTCTCTCTCTCTCTCTCTCTCTCTCTCTCTCTCTCTCTCTCCCTCTCTCCCTCTCTCTCTCTCTCTCCCTCCAGCTAGCTGCTTTATCTGGTACTGATGTCAAGTTTGATTTCCGTATCACAGGCACTAGGTAACTCCACAATAATAATGATGTGCAACACTTAATAATAATAGTTCATACGTACATATGTACATTGTATACAATTAGTTTTATTTTCATAGTATGTGCATTGTCATTGGTGTCATAGTTTCCTAGTTTATATTCATTACATGTACTTTCTGTTTGCGTCTGGAACTAATTAATACACATGTAGCTATGCTCTCTCTCACTCTCTCTTTGTCTTAAAAGTATTTTCTAAGAAATCATAAATTTATATTTAATTGTAGCTTTGTTTCCCATAGCAAGTACATGTACATGTAATGTATACATGTATTGGTTGAAGAGATAGAGAGGGTAGAGGGAGGGAGAAAGAGAGGGTTTGTTTGTTAGACCAGACTCCTGTGTATGGTAGTGGAAGCAGAACCAGTCAAACATTTGATTATGTATAAACATTGACATATAATTCATTTCCTAGATCATGTACATTTTTACATGTATACCTGGATTTCCCACAAAGCATGCTAAGTGAGCTAACCAGCATGAGTTTTATGAGCTGATAAGCTCTACAATAGTACCTGTACATGTACATTGCTTTGGGGCAACTTTAAAAATTTGTTAAAAATCCATCTTTAATTGGAATCAGCTCAAACTTGGCGACACAATGTAAGAACCAAAAAATTTTTAATAGCAAATTCTCTCCTATTCATAATTTTAAAAATACCCTGTATAGTATAATTATGGTATTTTGTCAAATTTTAAATAACTTTAAAATCCACTGACAGGAACCTGCATGAGCACTGTGCCAAAACCCTGTGGAAAACCCTAAGTATATATACATGTACATGTACATGCAATTAAAGATATTTGACATTATTTGTATTACTACATGTACATGACACAATGTCGTGATGCTTCTTGCTCATTATATAGAGGTTCACAGAATTAGTTTTTGCAAATTGCCACTTTTGTACCACTTTCTACCGTATTAAAATTGATTTTCAAGGGATTTAATTTCGCCAATCTTCAAAAATCCGCAAAATTCGCGAAATTTGTTATCCTTAAAATAAACCCACTATACGGTATGGCAATTAAAGATATTTGACATTATTTGTAGATGACACAATGTCGTGATGCTTCTTGCTCATGATATAACTGGTGGTATATGGCCTGTAGTAATGACAGCCTCATTAGATTATTATAAGAATATGCAAAGTGGATTACATACACTGTACGTGTGTCTAATTGAGTTACCTAGCAAAACCCACGACCAGTACATACATGTACGTGTACCTGGACAGATGTGATCCTCCACACTATACACATGTAGTATTAGTATTATCTCACTTATATTACTTCCTATTGCTCGCCGTAGCCCTGTAGTAGTCTTGGATACAACTCCTCACTCTCATAAACTGTTTACTATCAGTATACATTCATGGCCTTCACTCTATACTGTATCTATGCCTACACTTAGTGGTACAAGGTTTCCTATTGTCATGGTTGATTAACTTAAGACCACTTGTAGTAGTAGTGGTAGTAGGGCTGTCTGCTCTTGTCTTTAGTAGGTATCAGAGTGTTATCATTCCATTTCTAGTGCATGTGCTTACATCGGTACATCATTTCTATGTACTATCAGCCTCAAGACACTCTGTCTCTGTGAATGAATAGCTTCTTAACCAATATGAGTGAGTATTGGTTTCTTACTCTCATAACTATACAGTATAGTGTAGCTTCTTATTACAGACTGTCTGACCATTTTACAGACAGCATACACCCTCTAAATGATATACTCATTATGTTAGATGGTAGACATGTGTACATGTATGCCTGATAATGCCTCAACTTAAATGGGTGCTATTTACACACGAACTGTGTAGGTTACTCAATAAATGTCATCACTGGATCTTAAAGTGTGAATACAGATCCTTGAGTATTGTAAAGCTCAGTTTCTGAGTCAGTTTCCAGGAATTAAGTCATAATGGTCTCCGAGTAAAATGCTATGCTCGAGTGGCTCATTATTTCATTTTGAATGACATACAGCATTGTTGAGTAGCCCTTAGTGTTGCCATGGGGTCCATTATGTAGAAATACTCTGCATGCAGCACATGTGCACTCACTTAGAGTGAGAGCATGTGTCCATGGTTTACAGGTGCACTATATGCTACTATTACAATTTGCTTTGTTACTAATGGGCCCTCATCAAAGTGGATCCATATAAAGCTTAGAGACACAGAACCACAAGCTAAGATCAAATGAAGCTCCATTGCACAGAGTTAAAAGGCACCCAATGGGCCACAAGATCATGCACTGAACATAAAAGCAATCTTGCTACCTTCATTAAGACTACACCTATAACTCGCATACCAACGTTCCTTTATGATTTATAGTCTCTGTTATATGAGCCTTGTTGATAGGCTTCGCTTGGTATAATCAGGCTTTCCTCTCTTAAAAATGAATTATCTGTGTACATTGTTATTGTCTTAAGCCACTCGGGCTTTTGAAATCCTCATTGTAAACAAGAGTATTGCAACAAAAGCATCATATACATGCACATGTGTACTATTTAATTAACTCTTCGTTACTTGAGATTGCATAATAAATACAGTCAATAGACTATAGTAACTTCCTTGTTATTATTTCTTTTACTTTTTGTTAGAGAAAACTTGACAGTACAGATACTGCTAGACAGAGACTTGTTGGCTTCATTACCGAATGAGCACATCAGACTAGGCCAGCTGATTAAAGTGACTCCAATTCTGTTTGTGTTTGGTGGTGGGGAATCACAAGGAAAATCAATGTAAGAGAGAGAGGGAGGGAGAGAAAGAGGGAGAGAGGGAGAGAGGGAGGGAGAGAGAGAGAGGGAGGGAGGGAGAGAGAGGGAGAAGGAAATGGAAAGAGAGAGAGTGAGACAGAGAAAGATAATGAGATAGAGAGAGCAAAGTTTAAATTGTATTGTTTGTGTAGAGACAGAGAGAATAGATGGCAAAAGGAAGTACAAACAAATTGACATAAAGTGTTTGTATTGCCAGTTGAAATAGAATAAGAACACATGTGTAATGTGCAATATTATTAAACAGCACGTGTGTGGACTGTGTGTGTGTGTGTGTGTATGTGCGTGCGTGTGCATGCAGATTTGATACATCCATGTACAAGTGTATGTACATCGTATGTACAATCATATGTGCCAACGTAAACAATACGTTTGACTTTAAATTAGATATATTGCCTATTATTTCTCTAGCTATTGTTTTGTATAGACTATAGCTTATACCCTATAGCTAGTAATTTTGGAGAGGGGGGGGGAAGGAATTTATGCAAATTTGACTATCAAAATGATAGCCATTCACAAAAATAGAACTGAGCCATTGACTATTATGTGCATGATCAATAGCATAAAAGCTACAAATCTGAGAAATTAAAGCCATCAAATTATCATAAATTCACCAAAATTTTCCCCTTTAAAACTACCTACACGGTACATGTGTACCATTATGAGCTCAGAAGGTAGGTTTTATAACCTTGTGGATGTGGTTACATTACTTATGTACTTAAACAAAATGAGAGAACTTAAGCTATGTGTCATCATTACTTCATTCACTGCCTCCAGTTGTTTCATGTTAATACAAGGAAGCTAGGTTACAAGTGAGAGGTCCCTACTCTCCTTCTCCTTCGCATGAATTTGTGTTCCATGTAAATGTAAATGTAAATGGCACATGTCCAGTGTGATATGTTGCAATATCAATATTTACATTGTACTGCAACCATCCGTGTCTCTCTCTTTCTCTCTCTTCTCAGTCGCTTTGCTATGCTTATGACAAGTAATTTGATTAAACGTATCCAAGTTGTGTACATTCTTTAGGGTAACCTGAACTGTGTCCGTAGTAACTACTGTAATGTTTTACTATTGCTCTAATGCTGCCTTTCCAATAGCACGCCATTGATATAAACTATCCCCCAAATGATGAAGTCATGAGCCCTATAAGGCTACATTGTATGTTATAATGGCGAAGCATGTAAACAGTATTGATTTATTATGCACTAGAGGCTTATAATTTAATATTAAAGGATTATAATTTTTGTAAACAGCTCCCATAGTAACATTAACACTCATTAATACTCATAACTGGTAGTACCGCAGTAAGATTTTTGAGGAGTGTTTGTACTAAGTAGTACCCACATTTTGACATCATTTTTGATAGACTGACTCAACAGGTGGTAACTGAGGCTGTTTACTACTACCAGTGAATAGTGACAGCTATACTATTGACTGGTTATAGGCTTTAATTCTATTAACATTGAATTAGCTGCTATTGTTGTATATACATTATACTACCTTTTTGATAATAATAATCATTATATGTTTATACTGCAAATGTTGTGTAACAGAGTATGATGATAGTAAAATTTACAATTCAGTTTTTATTAGAAAATAGCACAAGAGCATTAAAGCATGTTTATATTTTAAACATAGTTGTCCAAAAGCTACAGTCATGTATCCCAGCCCACATACATAATTATACATTTACCATATATGGGCAGTGTCTGCACAGTTACAGGATGCTGCGATAGGAATTTCAATTATTAATCTGTTGCTATTGCTTCATGTTGCCATAGTGTCTCTCTCCAAGAGGAAATCAACGAAGAGAGCTTAGCTTTTCTGAGTGGATATGTAGGAAGCTACAGATCCCTTGCATCCAATTTCACTGGTAAGGGCCCTAATCAACCTGTACTATTACTACTACTATTATTATTATTATTATTATTATTATTATTATTATTATTATTATTATTATTATTATTATTATTGTGTGTGTGTGTGTGTTCATATTCATTATACTTGTAGATGACCCTGCCATTCCAAAGAAAAACTCCAAAGTCCGTGACCAATTCCACCAATTAAAGACTAAATACGGAACTCAGAAATTTAGAAACGTCGAAGTTCTAATTAGCGCACAACAAGTACGGAATGATATTTATTGATATTTGATATTGATTTTGAATCAAAGGTGTGTCGGGGTGTTAAAGGCGGTAGGATCACTACCTGTAGGACTGGCAAGGATAGAACGGGAATGGCGGTAACGCTAGAGGAGTGTGTCCTACTACGTACGGAACATAAGCTAAAGGATGAGCATTTCATGAGAGCTCTCTCAACCTTGAGAAGGTGATAATTTATTATATTTATAGTTTATACAATGTGTGTGTGTCCCCAATATACTTTATTTTGAACTTCTGTTATTTGCTTACTATAATTATTTTTTGTCTGTATCACTTTCTCTTTTTTTAATCGACAGTGTAATATTTAATCCTATTTGTGTATCATTAGTTCTGAAATTGATTGCTTAAAGTATAATTGTCTTAGAATCCTGCAATTGATATGTAGGGCTAAACACACACACACACTATAAGCTAGCTGCTTAAAATAAATATAATTATCATCAATGCTGATATTATTTTGTTATCATTATTATTATTGATTAGTTCTGGGACTCAGTTGGAGAACTGCTATAAGAACACTGGTCACAGATGCTACCAGTTCAACACAGCACAGTATCAACTGCTTCCACGCATACTGCAACCTCCTTGTCTCACTCTAAGGCAATCTTTTGGTGTAGATTAATTGACTTTTGTTTGTGTGTATAGACTGTTCTTGTTTAAAATATTATTATTTTTATAATCAAAATATTATTATTATTACTACTATTATTATTATTACATGTGTATTTTTAAATCATTATTATCAATGCTATTATAATATTATAAGGGAATTGGAGAAGTGAATGATGTAAATAAATATTAAAAAATAATTATTGATGAGTTACTAAAATAGTTCAGAGCAAACAATTTTTTGTTCTTCTGTTTTGTCGCAATTTGTCTTGTAGTCATTAAAGTGTTGAAGAGCAGATAGTGTTTCATCTGAGCTGAATTCAGACTCGTTGATCCATTTAAGGTGATATTCTGCATGAAATGGTTGTACTCCTGAGTGATTGTTACCATATATGTCAAATATATATCGAGTGAAGCTAATTGGTACTGTATCAGCTATCTCTTGCTTTATGCAGAATGATTCGAGTCCACTATAGTCTTGATCTGAGCACACAAAATTTGATAAATTTGGAAGTGATTTAATCTAAATTATGATAATGAAAAAAATTAATAATAATGCGAATGTTTATGATTTAATAGAAGTTGTGTTTAACTTACCCAGTTGCATGTGTCATTGAGAACGTGGTCAAGTATAATTAGAGTAGCTTCTATTTCAGTCATGTTTGCTGCTTTCCCTAGGCCTGAAGAAATGAACTGCTTCAGCTCTCTTTGTCTGTCGAGTAATGGGCATACAGCTTTAACAGTTGTACTTTCTTCCTGGCCGAATTCATTTTCAATTGACGTTTTCAATTGCTTCTAAAGGAAAAAGAAACTTGTTTAAATTGTATGTCTATGGGTAGCCTCATGCATCTTACATTGATATTTTGTATAACTTTAAAGCCGCTGTAGAGTGCCTCGTTTACGTGGATAGCTGTAAAAGTACAGCTTATTGCCTGCAATATTGTGAGAACGACGATGGCTGATGTGACTTTAGAGATTGCCATTGTAATAGCTAGATATAGAACTTGAGATAGTCTGGACTGGTGATTCAGTGGTAAATTGATATGACTTGAGCCCAAAGTCAACCCGTATTTATAGCTGACAGGATGAACATCAACTTTTGTTGATACGCCCACACACAGCCTCGATTGACTATAAAAAGCAGAGGAGCAGCTCTCGAAAAGCATCAATCAACTTCTCACAACTACTTCTAGAAGAGAAAATAAGAAAGCAAGATAACACTTCACTTAAATAAAATGGCCAGTTTCTCAAGAACTTCCCTTCTTCTCGCTGCAGTTGCAGCTGTAGCTCTTATCCAATGCTGTGCAGCAGCATATACACCTCAACAAAATATATTTTACAGCTCAGTTGTTAGCCTCAACTTACTAGTAAGTTCAATAACTGCAATGTAATGAAATTCATTAATTTTTATTTTTGTAGGATGAATTACTTCCATCTGAAACTGAAGCCTCGGGACTTAAGAGGTCAATGCTATGGAACGTTACAAGGAAAGTCATCCAACTACACGAAATCCAAAAGAAAATCAATGCAACCACTTCTCCAACAGAAAGCCTGATTGGTCTCAGGAATATTATTGCTGCTTTGGAAGACACTGCCTGCAAATGGGTAAGTGTTTCTCAGTTGCATGTCAGTTTTGCTAACTGAACTACTTATTGATGCTATTTTCTTCTTTATTCCAGTTAAGCATAAATATGGAAGGTCCGTTTAACTGTACAGACATTGAATCACTTAAGACGAAGTTTGACCTCTATGATCAGTTAAAAGAGACTGAGAAGGTTACAAATTCAAGCTGCTGATAATAACACTCTCAGTTGACTCACATTTAATTTTTATCTAGTATATTTTATGAAAATTGTTATTATTAATCTCAGTTAATTAATGTGAATTTATTCATTATTACAAATTTGATGTAAACACAAGTATATAACAGCCTAGGCTTTTATATTATAAAGCAAAAACACCTTACATTAGACCTATGGCATAGCATACTATTATCTACAAGGCAAAACTTACACAACAATTGTATGATCCTGGTTTTATTGCTGTCTATAATGTATAGTATCAGCATGGAGTACATGTACATTTATGTTTATTGCATTTACATGTAAATTTTCAAGAGAAGACATACTGTGTACATTCCCATGATGTATACAATTTGTTTCCTGCATGTGGTTATTAATAAAAACTTACATTCTTTAATAAACTGAACTTGTGTGTCGTGGCAACAGAACAGGAACTTACTGTGGCTTCCATTTATTAAGCATTTCCTAGTTGAATCTGTAGCAATTTTGAACAATAATAATTATGATGTATTAGATCCTACTGGGATGCATCCACTTCACATTTGATATTCTACTAATTCAATCATCTAACATGCAACTATATAATCACTGAGAGTTCACAGAGTACACTAGAATGTAAATCCCAACAATGTTTCTAATACGACTTCTTCAGTTGTTTCAATTGAACAGCCTTGTCTTGCCTTTTACCAGTAGTCTCCTTATCTTCACCTAAAAAACAAAGCAATTATTGTATGCTATATAAGTTTATGAAACTCACGGCAATAGAGTAATTTCTTCCATATCTCCTTCAATATTTGCCTGACTGAAGCACGAATTAATATGAATATTAGAGGGAAGAGTAGACTGTTGCTCAATACCAGGCATAACGATAGGTAGTGAAGATAAACGCTAACCGAGTACCCAGCAACATAAAGAATATGGACAACCTACATTAAGATTTATGCAGTTTATAACATTTGACTTTACATGGAGTAGGTAATTCAGCCAGCATGAAAGGCTAAGCTTAAAATTATTATATGGTCTACTATCTATGATCTATCATACAATACAATTTTGTACTTACCAAAAACAGAGAAGCAGCAGCCATAAAAACGATGATGATGACAAGCAAAAAATGACCAAAATTTGCCTTTTGTACCTGAAAAGTATCTTTGGGATCTTCTGCCTTCAGAAACATCCTGTACATTTTTATAGCCAGCAAAATCGTGCAAGTTAAAATGACTAAAATCATTAGCCCCATTGCAATGGTATTGACAATAAAGAAAATCTTGCTTGGAGTGTCGACAGCCAGAAAATCATAATAGCAAATATTTGATGGAGTCATTACTGCTATGGTAGACAGAAATGAGCCAATGATCGAATAAGAAAGCGTTCCACTTGTAACAAAGAATAGGAGTATCCTTATGATCTTGAGCGAACGCTTTGGATGACGAAGTATCTTTGTATTATACATAAAAGGATAGAGTACAGCTAGGTACTGATCAATGGATATAAACACAACCAGGAAGAAGGACATGAGTATGTACCAATTAAACACAATCACTTGATATTGGCACAGAGCTCCTTCATCAATAAGCAAATCGTTTATGAACAAAGAGACAATACTAAGAGGCATCCCTAACAACACAGCAGCAATGCCAGTGAGGGCTATGGAGAGAAGGAGGATGTTAGCCCAGGACTTTCTCTTGTGGACAGCAATCATGAGCAAAGCAGAGCATAGAGTGTTAAGCCCTATTGAGATTAACCAGAAAAAGACAAACAGACCTTTTTGAAAGCCTGGGACTTCAGTCACATTCATGCTACACTACTGAGTATTGAATGAAGAGGTTTCAATGAGGGGAAGAGACAGAGAGAGAGGGAGGGAGTCACAGCAGTGTTGACACAAAGAACCAGACAGAGAGACAGACAGACGATGTAAACTTGTAACAAGATGTTCATAACTATCCATAGTTAGGGCTGATATTCATGGTAAAATTCTAGCTTTTATTACAGTAATAGTAATCAATAATATTAACTTAAAAGAATAATAGTTACAATGATAAGTTCAATTTATAAAAAAAACTGCATTAACAGCGTATTAGTTTTCTGACTGAGTTTTAGATTTTTTGACAGCATCAATTTCCTATTTAAAAACGTTATTATGAATGCAATAAATGTACAAATATTTTGAGAGTCACTGACCTTCATGACGATACTCTTTAGTTCACCGTATGCTTTCTCCAGCTCATCATTCACTACAACATGATCAAACGAACCTTCTTTCTTTGCTAATAAAGAAAATCATTTTTAATAAAAATAAAGTCTTAAGAGATTATAATTTATTTTTAAGAATGGCACTGTATGTTCGCCCTATGTACAATACCACATAAGTGACTTTTTGAGGGAATTATATTTCGTGAAATCTACTAAAATTCCAATTCACGGATTTTAATTTCACAAATTCTACTGTGTGTGCCATGTGGGTACTGTATTAAATTAATTTTTGCAGATTTTATTTTTGCGAATTAGAAAGGAATCCGTGAAATTCACTCGAAATTTGCAACCCTTGAAAAAAACCACTTATATGGTATCAAGGTCATGGTAGCAAATTTTAAACTGTCCATGAAGGAGTTACTATTAAAATTGATAAGCAATTGAACTGGTAGCATACAGTGTATGTGTCAATAGTTTACCGTATAGCACTTTAATTTTGCGGAACTAAAATTTCACGGATTGATAAAAATCAATTTTTCGAGGAAATAGCTTTTGCAGATTCGCAATGATGGTGTCACGCCTTTAATGGCAATTGAAATTTTAGCGGATCTTTAATTTTGCGGTTTCATGCTAACTGCGAAAATAGCGAAAGTTTAGCTCCTTGAAAATAAAGCGCTATATGGTATCTCTTTAGATGGTAGGCACGTTAATATAAGAATAATAAACAATTATACATGCAATTATATATACCGTATTCCATTTCTTCATGTGCAACGTCAAGTCTTTTTCTTAAAGACTCTTCAGTCTCAGTTTGTCGAGATCTCAATCGCTTCTCCTTAAAAAATAAAAGAATGAACTTTAAAAATACCGTATAGCGCAAAATTTTGAGGGCTGTAAATTTCACAAATTTCGCGATTTTTTGAAGATTTGCAAAAATGACTCCTGCAAAAATCAAATTATTAGGGTACAAGATGGCAGACAATATAAATTCACAAAATTAAATTTACGTTTAAATTTTTAGGCAAATTTGCAAAATTTAAAGTCCTCAAAAATTTTGTACTATACGGTAATAAATTATTAATTACCAGTTCCTCTATTGAAGGAGGTTGAATGAAGACATAGATCGGGTTTAGTTTTGTTTCCTTGATACTCCGAACTCCTTGCATGTCAATATCAAGGACACACACTTTACCAAGTGATTTGACTTTAGCGACGGCTTTTTTACTATAAATAAATTTAATTAAACAAGCAAAATATTAACTACATGTACATGTATGGTCAGAGACCAGGGCCAAATTTTGCCAAAATAGTAGTTTAACACTTAGTACAGTATACTGAAAATTTTTGAGTCGCCAAATTTTTATGTACCGTAGGCCGGGTTTTGATTGCGTATCTAATAGATTGCAAATTTGAAAAAATAACTAGTTTGTGTTTCCAACAATTGCGAGATGCTAGCCTAGCTAGCCACACTCACAAGTTAACTGATTGTCTTGTTTCTCTCCTTTGCCATCTAAAGCTACTGCCACAGCTTGATTAACTTCCTTCAAGATGTTAGGTGGCATTGGGACTTGACTAGATGAGGTAATTTGGGCTGAAAATAGCACAGGATGCCACTCATGATGCTGTAAATGAAACACGTGTAGAGAAAATGATTGATAGGCGTGGCGCTTATTAATTATTATAGGCGTGGCGTTCATCAATTACTGTTAATTACGATTCTTTTCATTGCGAGATGTATTCCAGGCTCGCAATTCGCAATCAAAAAAACCTCGCAATCAAAACCAGGCCTACGGTATTAGGCATTTTTTTGCTACATCGTTTCATTGCCACATGGTGAAGTTGCAAGCTATTTGCTAAAATTTTAATTTAAAGATGCAAGATTCACAAAAAATTAGCAATCCTAGTATATGATATTAACTGAATTTTAGCAGCTTCAAAACTTCACAAAAATTCAATTGTGATTGAAATAAGCTCACACTTTCTACGCAACATAAGTACATATTGTACATGTACATGTATATTGTAATGTATTACAGTATTGTATGTATTGTATGTATTGTATTGTATGTATTACAATATTGTAATCTCGACTCTGAAATCATGACCAGAAGTGACCACGTGGTGCTTTAAATTCACTTAATTAGAATATAAATGGTATCATAAATGGCTGCTTTCAACACGGAGTAGGCTTAGATTTAGCAAGGTTCAACAAGGCTTAGATTTAGCCTCCTTATGGCTGATTAAGGCTGTAACTTTTCTCTGGAGTAATTGTATAAATCATTTCAATTATATGGACTTTTCACTTATCCGGACCAAGTTTTATTATCTGATGGACAAAGGGGTCCAGATAATCGAGGTTATACTGTAATTATAAAAATTAAAAATTTTCTTCTGTCTATTTTTGACAAAATTTAGCAAATGACCCTGTACTGTGGTACTGGGTCAATTTTGGAGCAACTTTAAAAATTCATAAAAAATCAAATTTTGATTACAATCAGCTTAAACTTGCTATGTAACATAAGTACATGTACATGTATATAAAAATGGCAAATTCTATCTCCATTCAATTATGAGGAAATTTGGCCCAACTTTTGAGCAACTTAAAAAATTCCAATTTTGATTGGAATCAGCTCAAAATTTATATGTAACATACATGTAAGTACATGAATATGCATCAGACAATGGCAAATGGCAAATCCTCTCCTTTTTAATTTTGGCAAAATTTGGTCAGAGACCCTGAACTATAGTACAGGGATTTTGGTCAGATTTTTGAATAATTTAAAAAATTTTTTTAAATTCTAATTTTAATTGTAATTAGTTAAAACTTTTTACGCAACACAAGTACATGTATATGCATCAGATAAAATTATAAAAATGGCAAATCCTCTTTTTTAATTTTGGCAAAATTCGGTCAGAGACCTGAACTATAATAGTACAGGGATTTTGGCCAGATTTTTGAATAATTTAAAAAATTTGTAAAAATTCTAATTTTAATTGGAATTAGTTAAAACTTTTTACGCAACACAAGTACATGTATATGCATCAGATAAAATTATAAAAATGGCAAATCCTCTTTTTTAATTTTGGCAAAATTCGGTCAGAGACCTGAACTATAATAGTACAGGGATTTTGGCCAGATTTTTGAATAATTTAAAAAATTTGTAAAAATTCTAATTTTAATTGGAATTAGTTAAAACTTTTTATGCAACATAAGTACATGTATATTATGCATCAGATAAAATTATAAAAAAGGTAAATTTTTTTCTTGTCAGTTTTGGTAAACTTGGCCCAATTTTTCCTTAAAAAAATTAATTAAAAAATCCAATTTTGATCAGAATCAGCTCAAACTTTTTATGCAACATAAGAAAAATGTATAAAAATGAAGAATTCTTTTCTAGCCATTTAAAAAAATTACTAACTACAATTAATTAAATTTTAATAATAATAAAACTCATTTACCTTGTTCCGTATAAATTCCCAGAATATTCAGCAGTCTCAATAAATTCGCCTTTCTTGATACCAAGCTCCATTTCTTCTCTCGTACTGAAGTAGTACTCTATTAGGAATAAGGAGATGAGAATCAATAATTATAGAGTACTATCACATGTAGAGAAAATATTAATATAATAATAATAATAATAATAATAAATTAATTAATTAATTTTAAAAAATAATAAATATTTTTAGGGCAAGGAAGCCTCAAATTAAATTATAAAAAGACTCTTATATTAATAAATTTAAAATACATTTCTATCACTGCAATAATTAACTAATAAAACAACCTCTTCCATGGACTTCATTTGAACGTGGCTTTCTTGAAGTATCTATAAAAAGGAATTATTATTATTATACCTTTTAGATTTGCTATCAAATCAACTGAAACAATAGATAACCATAACTATAGGGCATTACTATCTGTAAACCCATCAATTACTACTAACCGCTTAATTTATCTATTTTAACTACTGGCCTAATTTCGTTACAATTAATGGACGTAAATATGGTGGCCAATGTACATTTGGCTACCTTAGTTGTAAAAAATCGTTAAAATTAATGGCATTAATATATCCACCACTGCAAAAAAATTAATGTAAAGGTCAATAAATTATTTGGGTTTACAGTACTGAACGTATGTCAAAAAAATGCAACAAACATCAATGAATTCTTTAGTGTCAACGGCCCAATGCTAATAAGTATGCTAAACTAGGAAATTGGTCATAATTGGTACATTACAGCAAAGTGAAGCATTGACAAATATAATATGAGGCTAGCTAGGCCAACGTACTGTCAACTTTTAATCAAAAAAATGGGCAATTTGACCTTTTAATGCATACTTTAGGCTAGAGTTGAACCAAATTCAACTCCAGCATCAACTTAACGTCACGACTAGCACAATATTGTAAAACTGCTTTCACTCACGAGATACACTGAAGTCTACTTCATTAGGAAATTCCTGAAATAGTCTCTTTATGAGTGTGCTTTTACCAGAGCCAGATGGACCAGCCACAACCAGTGGTCTACACATGGGTTTAGCTGCCATATCTAAATAAAAATAATGATCATTACAAAATAATGTTACAATGTTAATAAAATAGCAAAACAGTTTTGGCTTTGCTCCAATATTTCATAATGCTAGTGACCAGTGTTACTTTAACAGTGGGATTATATATTTCAGTCACTCTTAATTTTAGGATACTGAATGCGTTATTATCATTAATTTTAAATGACAGAAATAAAGCAATAATGCGACCTGTTTATTAACTGCTACTAAGCACAAACCATTAATGGCTGTTTTGCTGATATGTACTGATGCATAGCAACTTTCAAATCAACAACAATAATAGTAATACATTACAAGCTACAACACTCTATTCAGTAATACTTGAATTGTGCTAATAATTATGCTACTAACTTGAGAATGCCTTCTTTAATGCAAAATATCCAACTAGTAGTGATACCCCAGCAAACACAGCAACACTATGATGTAAAAAGGGTCAGTAACAACTGTCAATAGTGTTACAACATAAGCTATCATTAATCAAGAGACCCTCGTGGTCAATCTAACGCCACGGCTTACATTTTCTCTCCTCTACGAAGGGCCAAGAGTCTCTCGTGTTCGTTTAAGAACCTAGGGGCGCTGTCTTTAGCCAATGGTCTCGCCAGTAACAGAGTTGTGGGCCTCAGTCTAACGACAAGAGCCGAGCTGTTCCGAAGGCATCTACCAGAGCAGCAAAGGTACATCCCCTAAAATTAGCCGCACCCAAACTCCAGCTCAGCCTTTCTCCTCCTCTTCCCTTTATGAGAGCCATGGCATCCAGATCTGCATCAGCATCTTCTACTTGTAGTACTTTTGCTCTTTCTTCTTCTCCAGGGATAATGCGCTGGGGCTGGATGTCTCTCCTGGTCATAGTCTTAGAGGTATATCTGTGGACAAAGGCTGGGGACCAGTCCTTTGTGAAGGCATTGAGATTTCACTTGTATGCATTCTCAGGTAGACTATTAACAGACTATTCAGCATCACTGTGTGTACATATTAACAGTAAATTCATGTTAATAGCAAATGCATTTTAATCTTATAGCAAGTGAATAATACTGTATTGCATATCTATTTCTAAAAGCTTTTGTTATCCTCCTGATCCTAAACTCAAAATGGGTGGAGCTGGTTGTGCAATTATCTGTAAGAAAGTTGAACACATGTTTTATACAGGAGTCAATAGAGCCTGAAATATGTTTTATAAAGTCGAATATTGAAACATGTTTCAAGCTCCGTTGACTTCTGCATAGAAGATGTTTCATGAAACGTTGTATGATAGCCTTGAAAGTGTTGATTGATGAGCTGAGTGTGCTAATTGGTGCCTAATGTTTTTATGCATGCAGAGCAAGGAAAACGATGCAATCCCCCTAGTTTTTTACCTGTTTTATGCTTCTATTTACACAGAAACCAATGAAAACATGATAGAATCTTGATAAAACTCTATGAAAACAAAACTTTGTTATAAACGTAGCCTGAGTGTGTGTGTGTCTGTGTCAGATAAATAATGCACTATAGCTGGAAATTTAGGCAAAGAATTAATATTAGATCAAAATGTTACAGTAAGCTAGTCAATACTCACCAGTATAGTCCCTCCCGTTAATTTCTAGATGATATCCATTGTAACAAGAGCAACTGTAACTTCCTTTGATATTAGTAGAAATATGCTCACAATTTCCATTATCATTAGTACATTCATTGATATCTATAATATGAATTGTTAAAGTAGCTATAAGTTATATCCCATAACTGAGCAATTGTGACCATTAGCAACCAACCAATATAACATTATTCTGAGCATACGTAATGACATGGCTAATCCACCAATTAAAAACTTTTAACAAATCATCAAATTTCACTCCCACAAATATTTCTGGCTATACGATACTGCTTAGTTTATGCTCTCATTTCTATTTATAGTTTTTGGATTATACTTCACCAGTCGTTATGTATGGAGACGAATGAGACAACTCATTAGGCCATTACCACTACTAGCACAGTATCCTTTACTAGCAGTCCTGCTAGTGGGTCTAAGTCTAGCTACTATAACAATACCATTAGGCCAACTAATCATTCTGACTGAGCCACCATTGTTCCTTTTACTGGGTAGCTATCTGGTAGGAGTCGTGATATTTCTCAGTGGAACTTTGCTAGGATTGCATGTTACTACTTCTATTATGAGGAGATTAGTGAAGAGGAGAGATAATAATAGCAAGATTGATAATGGAGAGAGTAAAGATGCTTCATTAAGATTCCAATCTTTGATTGCTTTGTTAATAACATTGGCCCTTTTAAGCATTGGAGGTTATCACTCTCGTAACATACAAATAAGTTACGTTACTATACCAATCAGTAGATTACCTCACAATCTTAATGGAACCACCATAGTACAATTGAGTGATATACACATGGGCCCTTTCATTGGTCGCTCACGTATAGAATCAGTCGTAAAGAAAGCTAATGCATTGAATGGTGATATTATAGTTATTACTGGAGATCTGATTGATTCTTCTGTGGAGAACTTGTGGGAAGCTGCCAAGCCACTAGGAGAATTGAAGACCAAACTTGGCGTGTACTATACAACAGGTTAGAGTAGCAAATGATTATTGTATAGGCAAGAGCATTGTGTAATACAATTGTGAACAAATAAGTGCTTTGTACATCGATTCACTATATTGTATGATGCCTTGTCTCATAGCTGGTAATATATTTTTGAGGGGTAAAGTTTTTGACAAATTACAGAATTTTTGATAATCGTTAGGTTTTAATTTTATCAAAGTACCAAATTTGCCAATTTTTTTCCTCCATAAATTCCAGCTATGGGGTAATAGCTAATGTTATTATAATGGTATTCATAGTATTGGTGTGTTACAGGTAATCATGAATATTATTCTGGTGATGTTGACAGTTGGATTGAAAAGCTGCCAGAGCTACGCGTGACACCTCTTATAAATGAAAGGAGATGCATTGAACCGTTAATGAAAGAAGGCTCCACCACTGAAGGGAATGGTAGGGATGAGTCTTGTCAGAATGGATTCTATTTGGCTGGACTAGAGGATATTGAAACAAGAAGACTAAGGTATAGTAGATTTTAATCTAATGATACAAAATTACCCATTATACCAATGATTGTGAAACACGTACAACAACATTGTCCATATTTCTTGTACATATACCATACGGAGCTTTTTTAGGGCTGTAAATTTCAGGGATTTTGTAATTTCTTGAAGATTCACAAAAAATACTTCCAGGAAAATCAAATTATTAAACAGATGGCATAAATTCACAAAAATTAAATCTTGAAAATAGATTTTTAGGCAAATTCACGAAATTTACAGCACTCAAAAAAGGCGCCCTATGGTTTACCATTATAGTTGGTAAGGAGAATTTTGGCTGATTTGGCATTTTTGTACTCAATTTGCCAAAATGAAATCCACAATTTTAAACCTGCTTAACCATAAACTCACCAAGCCACCATTAAACAAAACGTCACCCGTCTACAATTACCAGCTATACTGTATTCCACATTACTTAGGTATGGCCATCATTCAATGGATATCCACAAAGCATTATCTGGTAGAACTCAAAAGATACCAACAGTAGTACTAGCACACCAACCCCGTGCTGCTGCTGAAGCTATTCATTGGAAAGATGTAAGACTAGTACTATCAGGACACACTCATGCTGGACAAGTGCTGCCACTAATGCTACCAATCTATTTGTACAATCCGTACTTTGCCGGGCTTTATCAACCAATGGTAGGGGTGTATGTGTATGTGAGTGCTGGTACCCACTATTATATGCTTCCTTATCGTCACTACAAACCTGAAATAACTTTATTGACACTAGTTAGTGTTTGATTTCTAATTCATATTATTAAGAATTGACTTATTTATTTTTGAAAAATCAATATATGTAACAAGTCTGTCAAAAAGTCTGAATTAATACTTAGTTTTGTCAACTGGTCCCATGACAAAAGCATAGATATGTGACAAAAGTAGGTGATGTTTCAGCTAATACCTCAACATGGCATAAAATATAAAATCTTTCTCTCCTTTTAGAGTTCAAAATTCTTTTTTTAATAAAAAATGAATTAAATGGTCATAAATGGAAATTTTTGATTGAGAATATTAGCAATAATAATAATAATAACAATAACATTATTTACTGGGCTTATTAATATTAGCATATCCTAGACCAACAACTGTCACAGTTACCACTGATTCCATCTTCTTCATTCCTTCAACTTTACGTATGTATACACCAAATTATAGTAATCAATCATGTGTCTTGGGAACTGGGCTCTACATGGTCAACGGTTAAATCTGCTCCATGGTTGCCTCTCGTGCATTTGTTTAAGAACCCCGGGACACTTTCTTTAGCCAATGATCTCGCCAATCACAGTTGTGGGCCTCAGTCTAACGACAAGAGCGTCAGGAGCCAACAAGTCCAAAACATGCAACTGTGCTCATGATCAAATTTAAAAACCTGCATACAGTATGACCACTTTAGCAAGACAGTTTCATTCATTATTAATTAGTACCAATATCAACAATGGAAGATCTGCCTTTCATCACACGAGGTCACGACTCACGAGCTACTGCTAACTGCTCCAAGTAATGGCAAGTATCACATCTATTTCAACTGCCCGCCTACCTATAAATGATTAGAGTTATACACACAGCAGTTAGCTTTTACATGAGTCATAGACTTTGGAGGCTTTGTTCAAGTTTGTTGTAATTCTCAATTCTTCAGTTGGAAGCCATTGCTGCAAACTTGGCTGGAGCCCCTCCCTTGACTGATTAAGTGATTACAATTAATACTCCATAGTGTAAGCAAATTTAAGGCTTGTATACAAAAATAATTAAAAATAATTACAATTTCAATTTCCTAAAGTCCTTTATATGCAACTATTGTTGTAGTCTCTCCAACTCTTTTCCTAACAGACTCAGCATCATCAATAAACTGTTGAGCAGTACCATCTTCTATCTTCTTCCTCCAATCTTTCAATGATTCCTCAAGCTCCTCTGGTGTAGCTGCCGCCCAAATACTGCAATTAAAAACATAATAAAATGAATGCAGATATTATTTTACTATTATCTTTACCTTGTGGTGTCTCTCCATTCAGGGTCAAGTGGTCCGTTAACATTCAAGTATGTGTCCATTATCATGACAGACTCATGACAATGAGCCAACACAGACTGTACTCTGAAACCAATCTTAGACAATCTATCATGCAATACACTAACAGGAGGGTACCTATATAAGAAAGCAGACTATTACACAAACTACAATTAAGTCGGATTACTTTTCACTAAGACGTTTGGTTGCATTTGGTATTATTTTATACATAAAATATGACTCAAGTAGCTGCTCAGATGTATTAGTATTGATGACAAAAGCACCTTCATCTTTTAATATCCTATAAACCTCACTTATTGCTTTGGTAGGACCAGCATACTCTGGAGGAGAACTACCTGAAACATGATGCAATACCTGAGAGTGCATAAAGCAATATTATCGATAAAAACAGTCAAAATAACTAAACTCTGCTAATGCAAATTCCTAGGAAAGAAAAAATCATACATGTACCTGTGTACAGATGACAACATCACAGTATTTGTCTTCCAGTGGAACACTAAGAGCACTTCCCTCCATTATCTTAACATTTGGTAAATGTTCAGTTTTTTTAATTGCTTGCTCTCTCATTCCTTTGTTATATTCAATACCAGTAACATTACCAACAAAAGGACTTAATGCCACTGCATAATTACCAGTACCACAACCTATAAACAAGAAAAGGTTAGTGTTTTATAATACAGCTTAAGCAACACTACCTATACAACACTTAAATCTAATCCACGGCCGTATAGCAGGTAGTTTTGAAGTAGAAAAATTTTGTCCAACTACTAAAATTTTGGTGATTGGTAGGTTGTAATTTGGCAAAGTTGAGGCCATGTGCCATTGAGCATGAGCAAATGGTACAAAATGGCGAGTTTAAATTTGACGAATGGCTGTCAAAATGCCAAATTTGCCAAAAATTTATTCCGTCCAAAATTGCCAACTATATATATGGTATTTTTTTAAGTCACAGGAGCCATTGTCATGTCATAAAAGAATCATTGTGAATTATCATAGTTATGAATTATAACGAATGAATACATCCACTTTAATTGGGGCGAGCATGAGCAAAGCCCCTCCAAATCCAGTCTCAATCAAGAGCTCGCGATACATATTCTGTATGCCGTCTAATTATAAAATTGGTTGAAAAAGCCTCCTCTTATATATAAAGTGTAAAAAGAAATATTGAAATGGGACAGTAACTATTTCTTGTACGTCTCTTTTATTGGTTGATGATTGGTTATTTAGTTTTGTTAGTACTGAGGTGATTGGTGATATTTGCTCTGTTCAGACACTGACCGTGAGGTTGGGGTCTGAAATTTTGAATATGCATGCAGGTAATGGTCTTGAAATGAGAGGTGAATCTTCTTTTCTCTCTCAAGAGCTAGATTAGAATCATTATATTTTATTTTCAGTTTACAATCTATGATATTTGCTCTGTTCAGACCTCAACCATGAGGTCAGGGTCTGAATATGCATGCAGGTAACGGTTTCAGCTTCACAAACAAGAGAGATGATTATTCTTTTCTCTCTCATTAGACTAAGAGCTAGATTAGAATCATTTTTATTTTATTTCAATAAAGACAAGCTAAGCCACGTTGATAGCTCATGCTTGCCCCCTCAATGTTTACGTTCACTTAGTACTTTATATATCTATGAGCAAACAAACCAAACCAACATACAGCATGCAATCATTTTATTATTCGTACCAATATCAACAATTGAAGCTTCCTTTATTGATCTGCCTTTCATTACACGAGTTACTACTCCAAGAATCACATCTATTCCAACTGCCTGTCTACCTATAAACGGATAAGGTTATACACACACAGCAGCTAGTTTTTACATGAGTCATAGACTTTGGAAGCTTTATTGTAATCTTCATAATCCTCAGTAGCCTTTTCTGCCTTGAAATTCAAGCCCTTTGTTTGTTTCGCCATTGTTGTAGTATGGTTGCGAATCACGTTTTACCATTTTAGACTACGTAACCTATATTATAGTAATTATTATTATTACGTATCTAATCCACCTTTCTCCTCCTCCCTTTTATGCCAGATCTGCATCTCTTTCTCTTCCCCAGAGATAAATAATGCGCTGGGGCTGGATATCTCTCCTGGTCATAGTCTTAGAGGTATATCTGTGGGCAAAGGCTGGGAACCAGTCCTTTGTGAAACCATTCAGGTTTCACTTGTATGCATTCTCAGGTACTGAGACTATCAACTATGGAATCATTGTGTGTACATGTAAATACATACTAATAGCAAATGCATTTTATGGCAAGTGCATGGTATTACATACCTATTTCTAAAAGCTTTTGTTATCCTAAAGTGGAGCTGGCTGTGCAATTATTAGCTGTAAAGTGCCGGTTGATTGATGAGCCATAGATATTATACAGAGCTTTGCAGGTTGCTTGACAACTTCATGTGATTAGCGAGTTTGCAGGGTCAAGTAACGTGCAAAGCACTGTATACAGAATAGGATTTTGGAAACAGCTCACGTGAGCGCATTATGCATTGAAACATACATATTAGAGTAAATGAAAGGGATAGGAAACTAGAAAAGGGTGGGATAATAATTGCATTCCTTTGTATTGTGCCATAGCAACGGATGCTACTTTTCCTATTTTTCCTATTCCTACTTTCGCTGTTTGAATGAGTAATGACAAAAAAGACTTCAGAATCAGAGTCTAGATGAGTTAATCTGGGTCTTCTGCCCGTTATTTTGTCTTTGTGAAGCATATTTTTGTGGCCCATAGTGGCTATGGGCAATAACAGCTAGTGTATACTAGTATTCGGATTGCTCTGATTTTATGACGTAACTATAGGGTAAGTAGCTTGATTTTCCGGGAACAGAAGTTTTCTATCCCTTTCATTTACTGTTCTTGTCACTCCACTTGGATCATTGCGTGTTCCATAAATCCCTCTTTTCCATACTATTAAAATTTTTGAGGGCTGTAAATGGAGATTATTAAAAATACTTTATGGGACTCTCTAGACTATAACCAGCAGTTTTATGACAAAGTATCTGGTTACTTCTTAATGCCCTACAGTGGACTAAGACGTTTGTTATGGTACGCATCTACTAGTTTGAGAATAATGGCATCCTGTTTTAAGCCCACCATCCACTATTCAACTTTGTTAAAAGAAACTTTGTGGTTACTTTGATGTGTTGTCAACACTATTGCCTGAAATAGAACTGACTTCTGTTTCAGGTAACAGTATTGCCATAAGATCAAAGTAACCACAAAGTTGCTTTCAACAAAGCTGAATAGTAGATGGTGGGCTTTAAGGTCTCTTTGTTTTGGCACGCCATAACTTTTTAAACATACATATAAGCACTAATAAATGCCTTATTCCACTAAAGACACTTAAAAGGTAGCCAAAGAGGCTCTTACTAGCCTGCTTTGTCATCCAATGTAGTTGCTAGAGTTCCACAAAGTATTTTTAACAGTTAATCTTAATTAACCTGTTCCTGGACAACTCGGATGGTTTTAATAGATAATGTGCTCATGTTATCCTGTTTCCAATCTTGTTCTGTGTATAATATCTATGGATGAGCTCAGTGTGCTAATTGGTGCAAATTTGAGCCTAAGGTTTTTATGCATGCAGTGTGTGTGTGTGTGTGTGTGCATGTGTGTGTGTGTGTGTGTGTGTGTGCGTGTTAGATAAACAATGCAACAAATACTATAATAGCTCGAAATATAAATGGCTGGGAATTAATATTGACAGTTACATGTTTTCTTTTGAGTATGCTCATTAAATCTACCAATTACAAACTTTTATTAAATCATCAAATTTCATTCCCACAAATATTTCTGGCTATACGATACTTCTCAATTCATGCTCTCATTTCTATTTATAGTTTTAGGATTATACTTTGCCAGTCGTTATGTATGGAGACGAATGAGACAACTCATTAGGCCATTACCACTACTAGCACAATATCCTTTACTAGCAGTCCTACTAGTGGCTCTAAGCCTAGCTACTATAACAATACCATTAGGCCAACTAATCATTCTGACTGAGCCACCATTGTTCCTTTTACTGGGTAGCTATCTGGTAGGAGCTGTGATATTTCTTGGTGGAGCACTATTAGGATTGCATGTTACTACTTTTATTATGAGGAGATTAATGAAGAGGAGAGATAATAATAGCAAGATTGATAATGGAGAGAGTAAAGATGCTTCATTAAGACTCCAATCTTTGATTGCTTTGTTAATAATGTTGATACTCTGCAGTGTCGGAGATTATAATTCTCATAATATACAAATAAAATACCTTGCTATACCAATCAGTGGGTTACCTGACAATCTTAATGGAACCACCATAGTACATTTGAGTGATATACACATGGGCCCTTTCATTGGTCGCTCACGTGTAGAATCAGTCGTAAAGAAAGCTAATGCATTGAATGGTGATATTATAGTTATTACTGGAGATCTGATTGATTCTTCTGTTGAGAACCTGTGGGAGGCTGCCAAGCCACTAGGAGAATTGAAGACCAAACTTGGTGTGTACTATACAACAGGTTAGAGTAGCAAATGATTATTGTATGGGCATGTGAATTGTGTGATACAATTGTGGGCAAATAACTGTTTTTACATTGATTCACTATATTATTGTATAAGGCACTATATCATTGCTCGTAATTTTGGAGGGATAAGATTTGTCAAATTTTCTTTCTTCGAAATTACCAGCAGCTATGGGGGTAATAGCTATTGTTATTGTAATACTATTCATGGTATTGGTGTGTTATAGGTAATCATGATTATTATTCTGGTGATGTTGACAGTTGGATTGAAAAACTGCCAGAGCTACACGTGACACCTCTTATAAATGAAAGGAGATGCATTCAACCGTTAATGAAAGAAGGAGCCACCACTGAAGGGAATGGTAGGGATGAATCTTGTCAGAATGGGTTCTATTTGGCTGGACTAGAGGATATTGAAACAAGAAGAATAAGGTATAGTAGATTTTAAATTAATGATACAAAATTACCTATTACCGTATAGTGGGAAATTTAGGAGAGAGTAAAATTTGGCGAATTACTAAATTTTGGTTATTGGTGGATTTTTATTTGGCGAATTTGTGGCCATGTGCTATTGAGCATGCGTATAATGGCTCAAAATGGCTGATTTTATTTTGGCGAATGGCTATCAAAACGCCAAATTCGCCAAATTTAATTCCCTCCAAAATTTCCCGCTATACAGTATACCAATATCTGTGAAACATTACAACATTGTACATTATATATGCCTTGTAAATATACCATTGTAGTTGTTAACTTGGAAGGGAAAAATTTTGGCTGGTTTGGCGTTTTAATAGCCATTTGTCAATTAAGATAAAAACCAACAATTTTAAACCTGCTTAACCACAAACTTACCAAATTAAAACTTACCAACAATCAAAATTTTACCCCTCTAAAATTACCAGCTATACTGTATTCCACATTATTTAGGTATGGTCATCATTCAATGGATATCCACAAAGCATTATCTGGTAGAACTCAAAAGATACCAACAGTAGTACTAGCACATCAGCCCAGTGCTGCTGCTGAAGCTATTCACTGGAAAGATGTAAGACTAGTACTATCAGGACACACTCATGCTGGACAAATGCTGCCACTAATGCTACCAATCTACTTGTTTAATCCGTACTTTGCTGGGCTCTATCAACCAATGGTAGGGGTGTACGTGTATGTGAGTGCTGGGACTCACGATTATATGCTACATTATCGTCACTGTAAACCGGATATTACTTTATTGACACTAGTTAATGTTTGATTTCTAGTTCATATAATTATTATTTATAATTTATTCCACTTTTATTCATTATAAAAAAATGAAAATATAAAAAGTCTACACATATTTGTCAACTAGCTGGTATGATCACAAAAAGTAGGTGATTTTTCAACTATTATCTCAACATGACTTATAAAATATGAGAGTCAACTGTTCCTCAGTCAGCAGATTTGTCTGTATTTATTTAGTTCACCAAAATTTCTCTCAATAAAATAATAAATTAAATGGTCATAAATGTAAGTTTTTGATTGAGAATATTAACAATAATAATTACAATAACATTATTTACTGGGCTTATTAATATTAGTATATCCCAGACCAACAACTGTCACAGTTACCATTCCATCTTCTTCATTCTCTTCAACTTTATACACCAAATTATAATAATCTCTCATGTGTCTTAGGAACTGGACTCTACATCACGAAAAAATAATATTATCACTATAAACCCTTTTGGCTCTAGCACACTGTATTTTGCCAAAATTAGAGTGTTTGTTAATTCTAACGCTTACCGTATAGCAGGTTTCTTTCATTCGGCCAAACTTTCGTTTTCTAGGAGGAAATCCAATTTCGTGGGTTTTATTTTCGTCCTTCTGATCTGCAAGAATTAAGCCACACCCAACAACCCCACCCATAACACCCACGTGTGCATGTGTTAGTGTTAACCCGACGAAGATGAACTCCCGATCGAGCTCTCCCACAGCAAATTTCGTGGGTTTAAGTTTCATTTTTGGAGCTTGGAGAACGAAAAGAACGAAAGTTTGACCGAACGGAAGAAACCCACTATACAGTATTGAAATCAGCTCAACTTTTTCCAAAGAATAATAATTATCATTAAATTATAGAAATATAAGTACAAGTATTATAATACAATACATAAATAGTATTTGTCATGTGTAAAGTATATATAAAGCCGTATCTACATAAAGTAGAGTACTAAACATCAATTACATAAGACATTAATCACATTATGCATGAAAACAGATATACAGATGTACACCATAATAATCTTATAAGTACCATTGCTAATACTTACGTGTATGGAGTTAGTGCCCCTAGTTTAATCTTAGACACATCTCTATCGCTCATTGCCATGTATAGCAATGGTAGGGACTGCAACCCACTGTCAACACAACCACTCTAATAACAAAAAAAACAATAATTATCACGTCTTAAAAATTATACATACATGTACCATAATAGTGCTTTATTTTGGCAATTTTGCTGTAAAACTGTAATGAGCATTTTTTGGTGATACAATGTACTTGTGTACAAGTGCATTTGTTCATAATTTTTAGATTAAAAAAAATATTTTTGGCAATTTTTTCTAATATTGGGAATTTTGCTTGTAAATTGCCAATCGCTAAAATAAAACTATAAATAAACCAAGATAAAAATAAGAATAAAAAATATGAAATTAAAAAATAAAAATAAAAAATAAACCCAGTCAACCCACTATCAACAAACTCACTCTAATAACAAAATAATAATCACATCTTAAAAATCATGCATACAGTACTCACTCTCACTATCTCTTCGATGAGTTTCATTCCTGTCCTCTGCCCAATGTCTTCAGGTAGGGCAGACTCTTGAGGCTGAGACTCAGTCAGTGAATGAGGAGGAGGTCTTTGGCTGCTCATCATTGACGATCCCTCAACACAATGAGAGATATGAGGACCAACTGTACTGCTACTGACTAGTACTATGCCATACCCTGATGAGACACTAAATAAAAATAAATAATAATTATTATAATGATGGGATGCTAAATAATAATTATAAGTGTATATCTAAAAATTATTTTTTAAAATTACTTTCTTACAATTATAAATATATTATACCCTGATGAGACACTAAATAAATAAAAAAAATTATATACTGTATAGCGGGAAATTTTGGAGAGAATTAAATTTGGCAAATTTGGCATTTTTGCCAAAATGAAATCCGCCATTTTTAGCTATTATACACATACTCAATGGCACATGGCCACTAATTTGCCAAATTGCACTAATTTGCAAACTGGTGGTAAGAAATCCTACACCACTGCATGAGATTATTACCCAAAACCACAGCAATTATCCACACAGTGGCCAACTACATGTGTATGATAGCACTATGAAGCCTTTTTCTTTCATGCAGTGGTGTAGAATTTCTTACCACACCAGTTTACAAGTACACCCTTGTTTCCTTACTTTTTTCTCAATTTAATCCTACTATTTTCTCATTTTTAATGGTTTTTTTTTTTAATTTTCTGAGCAAGGTGAGTCTGAGCAAGCCTTGTCAAAACAATAATTTGTTAGATTATTCATACATGCTCATCACTCATAACTTGACTATTGTATAGTAGCATAATTTATTGGTGAAGTATTAAAATTAGCAAGTGGCAATTTTAAATAAAAAGGCTCCAAATAAAGACTCTTCAATTATTAGCAGCCATTTGGTAGGAGATAATAACAGAAATTTCACATGCCAACCTCCACAGTTTAAAAGAAGGGGTGCACACTGTAGCAATAAAAAGATTTTTTATTAACTAATGTTGATAATAATAATATAATAAGCACACTATCATTATTATTGAGAATAAATTGTAGCTATATTACTATGTACAACCATAGAAAATGAAATAAAGTTGCCTAATTCTATTTTAAGTACTGATTTTGGTACAGTAGTATCACCCTTCCTCCACTTGATGCCATTAAGAAGATCATGAGGTAATTCTTCATGAGTAGCTTCAGTGTCTACTATTAATGGATCTTTTGCTCCAAGCTTCACAAACATTTTTGGAAGCTTTGGTTTCAATTTATCAAACTTTCCTTCATGAAATGCAAGTAACAAGAAGTAATCTACACTGGAATCATTTGTATTCCGTGTCTTTATTCTAGCTGACATGTGCCGACCACACGCACTCGTATAAAAATGAACTGCTTCACCTCCTTTCCTAACATCAACTGGTAATAATGGATACTCATGGTAAGGACGGCTCTTTAAATCTGCTATTTCTTTCTTTATTTGTTCATATTCTTCTTTTATTTGTATATTTTCTTTCTTCAATTGTCCACAAGCTACAGCTAATAGTGCCATGTGTTTAGTATCAGCAGTGTGGCCATGTACATCTTTACGTAATGGCTTATCATTACAACCAGCCCAACTAAACACACAATCTACTGGCTCTAATAGACACTCATTGATGTGAGCAGTGAGATTACCTCGTGGCATATTAGTAGACACACATTTATTGGGACAAGTAACAGGATACTGCCTGCATTCCTCATAATGATCCTTCGTAATAGAGAGGAACGTACCTTTACTACTGCAGTATTGGCATTGAAAAGGACGCTGAGGACATTCCTTATCTTCATGATCTTTGAGATATCTACGTTGCTTACTCTCTTGACATTTCTCATATCGACTGCACTTTACTTCTTCAAATTGACATTCTCCCTCTCTCTTCTCTTTATTAAGATGAGTAAATATATTCTTCAATTCTCCTTTCCATTGACATCCTTTCTTCTTATTACTGCAGTAGACCTCCAATCCATTGATAATACGTGAACACTTCTTATCGATAAAGGATTGATATTTCTTCTCTTTACACATAGGACAGGATCCATTACTAGCTTTTACTCTCTCAATACAAGACCCACAGAAATTATGACCACAGCATGTCACCAGATGAGGATCTTTCAAAATACCAAGACATACTGGACACTGTATCTCCACAATCTCAGGTAATTCCTTAACAAAAGAAAGCTCTTCTTTACTGAACTGAGCCATGGGTACTAGCCACTCCCTTGCTAGTTACTAGATCCAATAATGGCATACAATGTAATGAATATACTTATTCATTGATATTCATTTTCCTTTGAGACAATGCACTCATTGTTATTTGAAACTTCTCATATACATGCATGTACATGTAAATGAACAGAACTGTTATCAACTAAACTATACTAATAAGAAGAAGTAAAAGAAATTACTGAACATTAAAAAGGTATGTGTATAAATAAAAAACATTAAAAATGAAAAAATAGTAGGATTAAATTGTGAAAAAAGTAAGGAAACAAGAGGGTAGTTGCAAGCTGGTGTGGTAAGAAATCCGACACCACTGCATGAAAAATAGTAATCAACAATAGAGGATATGCGTGCTAAGTATATTCATAACTTTTGAGTACCGTATATTCAACCCACACAGTAAATTGGCCGCCATGTTGGACGTCAAGTTTATTAAGAGTTCAATGGGGGAAAACACATTTTCTTGCCTTGCTACCTTCTTGAGGCCTTTTTTGGAAGCTTAGAAAGCATCCTGAGGATCTAATGGGGTCTAGTAGTCACCTGAAAGATTGCTATTAAGAAATACAGAGTGGTTTCCTGGTACCAAGCCTTTTTCTATCGTTTCTCCATTGCTGCCAATGGAAAACTGACGTTCAATGAATTAATTTTTTTCTTCAAAGTTATTACGGTATGCAATGAATACATTTATTTTGCAATGAATATACTTAGCATGCATATCCTCTATTAACCACACATGCAGACAGCAGCCTTTACCCTTCATTCAATGATGTCGGATTTCTTACCACACCAGCTTGCAACTACCCTCTTGTTTCCTTACTTTTTTCACAATTTAATCCTACTATTTTTCCATTTTTAATGTTTTAATTTTATTTACTTAATTGTTTCCCTTCTTTTTTCTTAAATAAATTATTTACATTCTGTGGTTAGGTTAATTATAATTATTCATGCTGATCACGTCCGCATAAATTAAAATGGCGTCAAACCACAAACCCACACGGTGCCTGCAGCTGGATTTTGTCTTCCATTTTGTTCCCTGTGCTGTGGTCCTCAACCCAAGCCCAGAGGAGTGATGTAAAAGCCAACTCAAGTGCTTTTCTGGCTTAAAAGATTTTGAGGTGTATAGAAGAAAGATGAAATAAGAAAAAGTCTGAAGAATTTTTCAGAAATTTGAATTTGGGCCTGTTCTCCAGAAGTGCTCCCGCTACATTACAGTCCACTTTAAAGGTACCATGAGAATCGCTCAGTGAAGGAGAGCTCATCTAAACCATCTATAAGGCTGTAAAATGCAAAATAAAGGAGTTATAAGTTTTTTAAAAGTATAAAAATGGCCACCATCTTGAAAAATCCACCTGAATCCTACATATAGGCTATCGCCTATATAATTATCGAGAAGTTAGTAAGCCATTGCTTTAGTTATTTAACCATTATTAAAATTATGTAACCATTATGTGGGCATGGTCATGATATCAATATTTCCCTTCAATTTTTTCTATATTGATAAATATCAATACCACATTATCAATTAAACATCGTGAATTTTGATATATCGCCCACAGCACTACTAAAAATCATCATAGATTTAATACACAGGTCGTGTACTATTAAATCAATGAAATCATAGATAACAGAGTAAATGAAATCTAATATCTATGTAAAAATGGCCTTAGCATGACATGTGATCAAAGAAGCTTAAGTTTTTTCTTCTTACGAGTGACTTATGACGAGTAATATGGCACAATACTGCTGCCTAGATATATTTAAAAGAGTTGAGAGAGTCCAGCTAGTACTGCTAGCCCACTACATTTCTGCCTCAACCTTTCACAAAGTCGGATGGCCAGGATGAAGTTTGGAGCATAAGTCCAAGTCACTACCAAGTAAGAATTAAGAAATTGTAGGCATATTAATGAAATAGAAGGTAGTAAACTACTGGAAAATGGTTTTGTCTATCTTGAGTGTCAGCTTAATCACTATATTTTTTTCACCCTTACTTATCAAGCTTCTTCTCCCTAGTGCTGCTCTTTAAACATTTTTGCCTGATAAATGAAGGCTTGGACTAGCTATGGAGAAAGATCTATGAGTCTAGAGGACTCAGTTTTTTTTTTATTAAAAAAGTTTTAAAAATCTAATTAAAAGTTCATGGTGACAAACAACCAAAGTACATAATACCTGCCTATGCAGCGAGTCCAATGAATAGCAAAATAATACTTACTGTAGAGTACATGCTATCAAATAATGTTTATTACATTCATAGTAACTCCTAATAAGGAAGTAGGTATTTAGTAGCCCTAACCTCAGTAACCTGCCCTTTTGCTGATACCAGCAGTATGGCTGAAGGAAGTGAGTTCTCTTTATAAAAGTGTATTTTTTATCACTGCACTCACTGTAGGTAAGACTGCAAAGGAAGTCTTCAAAAAAACACTACCAAAGCTTATTAACACACTTGGGAAGGAACCCCCTTTTACTATTGTCACTGCTTCTTTATATGCTAAAGGACTGATTACAGAACAAGAACTTGAAGCCATTAAGACCAAACAAGGTGTTGAAAGAGGTAGTGAAGTGGCTTTTAAGCTCACAGACAAGATAAAGGATAGTGATGATCCTATTGCCTGTCTACTTACCATATGCGAGACATTTGAATCTGATGACATAGATAATCATACATTAAAGAAACATGGAGCAAGCATGAGAAAGAGTATATCAAGTAAAATACACATTCTATATTGATCCTTTCTAAAGACTCTATTTTAATAGACAGCACAGCTGCTATTGATGAATCTTTTGAGTATCTTGAAAAGCAAAATGGGCATCTCACACCAAAAATGGAAAAGAGGATTAATTATACATTGAAGAAACATGGAGCAAGCATGAGAGAGAGTATATCAAGTAAAACACATTCTATATTGATCCTTTCTACAGACTCTATTTTAATAGACAGCACAGCTGCTACTGTAACCATTGAGTCTGAAGAGGATGAATCTTTTGAGCATCTTGATGTGCAAAAAGAGTATCTCACACCGGAAATGGAAGAAAAGATTAAAGCATTGCGTGATAGTGAAAGGCCTGTTAATATATTAGTGGTTGGCCCAGTTGGTGTTGGTAAGTCAACGCTTGTCAATGCTATGTTTGGGAAGGATGTAGCTGAAGTTGGACTCAGTGCAAGAGCCTTTACAACAGAAGTACATTCTTATGAGGGAGAGTACAATGGTGTGAAGATAAAAATGTATGATACTATGGGGTTTAGAGATTCCAGAGTTAAAAGTTATAAAAATATTTTGTTGGATATTGCTAAGCATGGTCAGTTTGATCTAATCCTCATTTGCTTAAAGTTAGGAGGTAGAGCTGATCGGCATATGTTCTTAGAACTGGCCTCCGTCTTACATAAAGAAATGTGGAAGAGGACAGTTGTTGTATTGACATTTGCAAACCAGTTCGAGACACTCGAGAGTGTAATAGAATCTAAAGACGTGGAAAGTGGAATAAAAATGCAGATAAATGGGCACAAAGAATGTGTTGCTGAATTTCTTTCGAAAAGTGTTAATAAGGAAGTAGTGCAGGGTATACCATTCTGTTTAGCTGGGTTACAATATGAAAAGAAGTTAACTACTGTAGACGACTGGTTGAGTACACTGTGGAACACATCTATTACTCGTTCCAGTGATGAGGCATTGTCATTGTTATCGTTTCATCATCAAACATACCAAGCTCTTATTGAATTAGCTGGTTCTACCCATGGTAAAGCTATAATAGGTGCTATTATTGGAGCATTAGCTGGTTCTGTAGTACCTGTTGTAGGTATTATAATAGGAGCTGCAATTGGAGCTGGAGTGGGGGCTAGTATACATGTAGAATGGCTCAGACCAAAATAATTAAAACTGATTTCATTGAATTCAAAATTAAGTGTAATTAATTTTTTTTAGTTTTAAGAATAATAGTGTTGTTATTGTTGTTAGTCCTAATTGTATTTTATTATTATTATTATTATCATTATCATTAAAAGTATCTCCATACTTATTACGAGACACTATTGGTGTATTGGCCTCACCAAAACAAAAACAAAATTATTTGTTTACTTGACTGTACGCGTAGCTAGGAGGGTAATCATAAGGCCACTCCAATTGAATTAATTGTTTTTTCTTTCATGAAAGAGTTGAGAGACTCTAGTACTGCTAGCATGCTGCTATTTCTGCCTGAACCCTTCTCAACGGACTGCCAGGATAAAGTTTCAAGCATAAGTCTCTACCAAGTAAGAATTAAGAAATTCTACACATATTAATGAAATAGAAGGTAGTAAGCTACTAAAAAATGGTTTTGTCTATCTCGAGAGTGTCAGCTTAATCACTGTATTTTTTAATTTTTCTCCCTTACTTTGCAAGCTTCTTCTCCCTAGCGCTGCTCTTTAAACATTTTTAGCTGATAAACGAAGGCTTGGACTAGTTATGAATTTTGAAGACTTAGTTTTTTTATTCTAAAAAGTTTTTAAAAATCTAATTAAAAATTCATGGTGACAGACAACCAAAGTACTTAATACCTGCCTACACGGCGAGTCCAATAATCTGCAGTGTAGTGTGTAGGTACTTTACCTTTTAGGTCTTGGAATGACGTCAGTGGATATGTACACGTCAGGAAGGTACTTGTTCAATACCCCACGAGCACTGCTGACCAGTCTGTTAGCAATGCCAGCATTAGCTTTAATACTGTATCTATGTAATAGTAACAGCTAAGGATAATAAGATTAATGTAATACTTGAATTAGATTTTTGGACTCGTTTGTATATGTACATGTATCACTAATGCAGTAGAGTAAAATTAAATGACATTTTGATTACTATTATTGAAAACAAGTGGGCAATGTAAGCTTATATCAGAAAATTTTCTCTAGCTACTTTGGATGTAGGGTACAGTACAGGGACTTTGGCTCAATTTTGAGAAACTTTAAAAATTCGTAAAAAATCCAATTTTTAACAGAATCAGCTCAAACTTTCTATGCAGCACAGGTACATGTATACGTATGTGTATCATAAAAAAATTATAAAAATGAAGAATTCTCTCCTTGCAAAATTTGGCTTGAGACCCTGCAGTACTCTAGTACAGGAACTTTGGCCCAATTTTTGTGAAACTTTAAAAAATAATTTAGAGAAGCAGTGGCCCTTATGGGCTTGATTTATTTTATTAAAATTTAACCAAATGCCCTTCAAAATATTACTTTTCCCCTTCAGTAATAAACCTAATTATCATTATAGACAAAGACAATCTTTAAAGGATACGCCATTCCTCTTATTCTTTTGACTTTCCCCACGTCTTCCATCCAAACTGGAGACACTTTACGGACAATAGGACAACTGAAGGATACCTCACCTCCACCATTGGGACACACACTTCTCTTAATAACCTAAATAGTAATAATAGTAATAATAATAATAATAACAACAAAATTTATAATCGTCTTCATGTAATGTAATACCTTAAGGTTACCTTTGAATATGCATGGTACTATTAATTGCAAATTTTGTGTTTCGTTAAAGATTGTAATTATTAATAATGCTATATTCTTAATACCATCAAAACCTACCTCATGCTAAAATTGTAAAATTTAGTACCGTATAACACAAAATTTTCAAGGACTGTAAATTTTGCAATTTTTTGAAGATTCACGAAAATTAATTCCACAAATATCAAATTATCATGGTACAAGATGGGCAGATGGCATAAATTCGCAAAAATTAAATACGCAAAATAGATTTTTAGGCAAATTCGTGAAATTTACAGCCCTCAAAAATTTTGCACTATACGGTACCCGCAATTAAAAGTCACTCTAAAGTAGTGGCTTCTCTTTCTATTCCTCCATTTCCCTGCGTGATAATAATGAGACAACTAATGCTACTGACTTTTAGCTCAACTTCTTTGCTTCCCAGTAACTTCACTAATAATGGAACACAGGCGAGCCTGTAATAGTCAGCCTATAACAGAGAGAAATAAATTAAATCAAAAATGAATTAATCAAATCAAAAATACTGGTAGCAATATAAGAAAGCATACAGTAACAAATAATGAATAGTAAATCTGTAAATCTGGTATATTTCGAGTGATGGTAATTTTCATATAGTAATGAGACATACTAAAATTAGAACTACTAATATTTCCCTATTAATATTATTGGATGAAAAAGGCAGCATTTAAAATATTTTAACACCTAAATTATCCATTCTGTATTTTATAACCATAAAAAATTACCCAATTTTTGATAGTAATTTAAGCTTTATTACTTGTACAACTCTTCGCTAATAACAATAATAACAATAATAATAATGATAATTATATTAATATTTACTGATGGGTCGTCAGGTCCATGAGTGGCACCAGTCAGTTTCATTCTAATCGGGTGCTTTGAGAAAGGGGCTAGCATGAGAAGAGGTTCTAAATAATACCCGATCGATCTCTGCGGATTAGCCTCATGCTCTAGGACTCCACCAACAATAAAACCAGGTTGATAATGCAAACATGTACCTACCAATGATAAAGATGATACCCTATATGCCATATATTTCATGGGGATTAAAATCTGCAAAGTAGCATGCTGATTGTATAGTAGGTGTGGTAATTCAATTGAAATTTTTATTCATGAATACAAAAAATGCAGCCAAACCACACAATTTTATGCCTGCAAAATATATGGCATATACATGTACAGTACTGCAAATCTGCAATGAAGATACAATAGACCCAATACCTGTAACATTGACTTCGATCTTAGAGCCATTGGTTAACTTGTCTAGCAGTCTTAGGAAATTAGCTTCATAGTCTATATTTATGGTTTTAACAATTAAAATAAATTAAATTTTAATAATTATACAGTAATTAATTATTTTGAGTTACCCTTTAGTCCTGGTGCCTCTTCGTCTGCCCTTATCTGTGATATAGTGACTGGCCTTTGACTCAGTGTTGCCAGTACAAGCCTCTGTCTCAAGTAATTGCATCCTTCGAATCTCAAACTAGACGCCATAATAGCCTAGGGAGGGGCTTTAGAATGACCCACGTGTACGCACGTGGGCACAATAAGCCCCGCCTGTAACCACGCCTTTCAAGATGGCGAACATACTACACCCATAAACACTTTTTAAAAGTAAAATGAGTGACAGAGGAGACGGGAGTGAAGTAAAGTTTGCTTGGCACCTCGTAGAGCCTAGCCTGGAAGGAGTCATAACGAGCAAAGAGAAGCTTAAATATGGTAGGGCGTCATTTTACAATCATTTTCAAATACTGATACTCTAACACTATTTATTTGTCTCTTTTTACAATCACAGCCCTTCAATGCTCAGGCAGGAATCCGTCTCAGTCTTCTATTGAAAAGTACTGGAAGAAGTTTGGAGGTATTTAATAAGATAGGATATTTTTAATTGTAATACTATTGAATGTATTTTTCTGGTACATGTCATTTATTAGACCCACCCTTACATCCTTAACTTACATAATTTTTAATAGTATACATACTCCAGATTCTTAGTGAGTATAGTAACTTTGCCGCTACATGAATGAATCCCATTAAACCCACTTACATGTACCTTTAGTAAATATTTCATAACAAATTAATAATACATTTTGTAGTGGATGTAGTGTTTTGCATGAGAGGCTAGGCTTTAGGAAATTTCAATAATGTCATAGTTCCCATCTTTTGCATTATTGTGTTTAGGGTATTGTACATATACATGTACATGTATGCATGTGCATGTACATGTACAATGGGTATTTTGTGTCCAGTATTACATGCACATATGTAGCATATCTGGTGTATGCATGGCTGGATAGTATGCATGTACATGTACTTGTAGGTTCAGTGTCATATTCGGATTTCTCAAAGATAATGAAAAGGGAGAGAATACCCAGTCAGGCCGAGCTCATGAACATCTTTAAGAAATTGGACAGAAAGGGAGACGGATACGTAACCACTTCTGATCTAAAGCGACTATTAACTAAAGTAATTTTTATAAATAATATTACCTGTAAAAGATGTACTGGAGGAGTTTGATTATTATTATTATTTTATTCGTCACTTGTAGAATTTTAAAAATCCCTCGCTATAGATTTTATAAAATAATATGGCCCAGACTTTTATTTCCTATCTTTATTTTGTAAATATATACAGGCTACTAGTACTATTTGAGGGTTCTTCAATATAACTTTATGTTGGCTTATGTTACCTTATTGTATGTATCCCTTGGGCTTTTAATTGAAAGTTTGAGACATGTTAAAAGGCTTTATTTAAGAATATATGGGTGCATTACATGTACAATAAAAATTGGAGTTAATTATTTTATAAACTTGTTTTAGAGTGGTGAGACGATGTCAGAAGAAGAAACGGAGATATTAATCAGCGACCTGGATCCAGGACAAGATAATAAAATAGATTTCACTGAAGTAAGACCATTCCTTAACAGATTATGTTGTGAATTTTTTGCCCAAATATTGAATATTACACCTCGTGTATCTGTATACTGTAAATGATTCCTTATTTTACATGTACATTTATTTTTTGTCAATCTTCTAAATTTCCAATTGAACGTCATCGTTTGAAATTATAATAGCTGTATGGGCTTAAGTATGAAATTTGTTGCAAGTTTCACCAATGACTATGACTTGATACTGTGCAGTATGTGTATGTGTATGTACATGACAGTTTCTCCTTTATATTAAATAAATTTGAAACACTATAAATATTTATTATAATAAAAATTGGTGGGGTATCTTGAAATTAGAATAATGGTATGCATTTACATGTATGTACATGTGTATTGTCATTTTAATGGTGTTTATGTTTTGTTGTTGCAGCTTAGCGTTCCTAAATCAATCAGATCCTTGACAGACTCATAATATGAACAGATCCCTTCATTTGAGTCATGATAGGCTAAGAAGTGATCTTTTGTGGCTTTCACTACATTATGCATATTAAGAAATATTTTATCCTTCTTGACAAGTTGGCTGTCACTGCAATCGTAATCATTATTCTTTTCCTTCAACTACATAAAAAAATGGAAAAAGTAATGTTAGTTCATGCATTTTAAGTATTAAATGCAAGTGCTTTTACATGTAACATAATGTATATCATTTACATTTGTATAAGTAACATTATGAAGTCCTAAAAATTCCTTATGATGTACTAATCATGCCTTCGTTCAACTTCGTTGTATATTTTTTTGACAACAAATTGTAATTCAATAGCAATGTACGATGTATGTGCTTATTATCTCATGTACTTACATAATCACATATATGTGTCGTCAAAGAGCCTTTTGAGAACCTTGAAACCAGTGAGCCATTTAAGAATTTTAAAAGAAATGAATCTTTAATGTGCACGTCTTCATTTAAGAAAACTTGGGTGGCAGCAAATTTTATAAGATTTTCATCGAGACCAGAGCTACCATAAAGTTTACCCTGAAAGATGAAGACCAATTAAGTTACTAATAAAATTATGTTTGACTTGTATACAGTGTACATGTACATGTATATATTAATGCATAGTGTATAATAGTATCATTATGCATGTACATGTGTATATTGCTTACCACGAATTTTTCTGTTGCCATAAGTTGTCCATTTAAGTCCTTAGCGATGTTTGATGTTACAGGGGCAGGCACTGCAGTATGTACTAGCAAATTCATTGTTATCCAAATTAGAGAGAGAGCAGCTAATCCTGTCTTCATTACCATTATTATTATCACTATGAGTTATCTTGAATCTTTGTATCTCTTTAGTTTTCTGTGTGCTTGTATGATGCACTCAAGTCCACTTCTCCTTTTATACTCAGCAGCCTTGTCATAGATATAACAGTTAATTAGGATCAGTTACATCATATCCCTGTAGTAATTTCTGTAGTTTCCTATGCATGTACATCCCTTTCCTTTTAACTCTAATATCCATGAACTTGTGCACATGTGGGAGGAGTGGGTGAGGTCATCATAATACTTGTGTGGCATCTGTAAAAAATATTAATAGTAAATTACAGAAGATTGCATCATTACAGCAATGATATGGTCAGTTAGTTAGTATTCATTGTGTTAAGCTGGTGTTTGTATAGAATACTCATATATACCCGTGATCTAGAGTAGATCTACTCTTGCTATAATAGGCTCTTTGTTCCAAAGACAGTGTAATGTTTTTATAAGACAGGGTGGATTGCCCCTAGTCAATCACACTAAAGATGCTGTGTTGTAGCCATGTTGCTGTGTTGGGGCATTCCCTCCCCCCCCCAAATTTTGGCGAATTTGGTGTTTTTATAGCAATTTTCTAAAATTAAACCTTCCATTTTGAATCATTTATGCGTATGCTCAATTGCAAATTTGCCAAGCTAAAACCCTCCAATTATCAAGAATTTTCCAATTTGCCAAAATTTTATCCCTCTAAAATTTCTAGCCATGCAGTATGTGGTAGACCTGACATGCATTCTAAAGCAAAGCCAGGTCTTTAAGAGTATGCATGTGTTTTTTTACTTAAGCAAGAAAGTACTGTATACTGGTTTATTTTCACGGTGTAATATTTTTGCAAATTTTGCATTTTTTTGCCCCGTCACGAAAATCTTTCACCACGAAATTCTGCTTCTCCATTGGCAGGTGGTGCAGTCTGCATATGCGAAATCTTAGAAATGCAAGATTTGCAAAAAATTTTTAACTTCACAAATAAACCGGTATGCAAGTATTGTAATATTAATTTGCTAGAAAAACTGCCTCGGTATCGGTATTGCTTAGTCTGGTAACGAGCCTCTTGCAAAACATGCGTAGGTATGCTTTGCAAGGGGCTGGTTACCAGACTAGGTATTGCTATTATAGTGCCCCAAGCTTGTAGCCTTTGGGAAACATATTTAGCATGCACATGACAGTTTGATTCATGTAACATTTCCTTTTTGGACTTAACTCAGCATGTTTGGTGGAGCATAACATGTGTTTTGTGTCATGTTTGAAGCAGGATTATTATAAATGAGTATTATATATATATATATATATATGAGTTCGTAGTGGTAGTATATACTATTACCAAGTCTGATTAGATTGTTACATTTCTTCAACTGTATTCCATGTTGCTGGCATTATGAAATTTCTACTAGTCAGTACCAAGTGCACCTATGATGCCCCCCCAGAATGATATCACACCACAGTTGCTAATATTAATGTACTGTAAGGCCTTAGCTTTGACCTTTGGTGAACTCCCTTCACTATTACAGTAATAGAAAGTTCACGCATTTATACACTCCAGCAAAAATTAAAGCTAGCCTTTATTAGCTTATAATTATTCCAAGGTACTATTCATGTCTCGTGTTTTGCTGTTTCATTTCCTTCTTCTCTAATACCTGTACACCTTACTCACTTGTGTATATGCATGTATACATTTTATATAATTGTAGTTCCCCATGTAGCGGGAAATTTTGGAGAAAACTAAATTTGGTGAATTTTGCATTTTGACAGCCCTAAATTCTGCATGCCAATGGCACATAGCCACAAATTTGCCAATTACCAAAATTTAGCAATTTTTCCCTCCAGCATTTCCTGCTATTTATATTTTTTATTCAACTAATCACAAGCATGCATCTCATAACTGTATATTAATTGTCGTGGCTCATTTGTGATCTGGTGCATGTACATGTACATGTATGTACATCTAGTACTGTATAAGTGATTATTTTTGAGGGGTGCAAACTTTGCGGATTTTTTTGTGGTTTACAAAAATAAAACCTGCGAAAATCAATTTAAAAGGTTACCTGCTTGGTACACTTGGTAGAATTTGCGAAATTAAAATCCGCAAATTGAAATTTTAGTAGATTTTGCGAAAATTGAACTCACAAAAATTACTGGCCATGCAGTAGTAAAGATGTATTTTGTAATGTCTAGACATCTAGTTTTGTATGTTACAAATGATGAATATTTTACGTTGAGTAGTGCATGTACATGTACATGTAATTACTACATGTGGTTATAAGTATGCTCTGATATGCTGACAAAATTTACATGCATTATATAGACACTGTAGTAATTCTGTTGACTGATTACATTTACAATCCAACTTGAGCTAAAATTTTTGGATAGTTTGTGTGTGTAAATTCATAGATATTACACCCATATCTATGGTGGGATGCTTGCATATTCCTATTTCTATTGTATAGTAATTTCTACCTTATAATAAATTTATTATTTTCCTGTATTTTTATGCATGCAGGCATAGATATACATGTACATGTACATGTACATGTATGTGTTTTTTGTGTGGGTCATTTGTAAAGAAAGGGGCTCATTTTAAAGTAGTAGAGTGCAGCTTATAAATTTTAATTAGAGAATCTTGCGAAAGGCATAAAAGAAAAGTCTAAATATCTGCTAAAAGAGGTTTTATAACTATTTTTGTGTATTTTTGTAGTTGTGTCACTTGATAGTGGAGACCACTGATGATTGCGTTAGTACACTGAGAGAGATGGGTACTAAAGGGCAGAGAGAGAAGAAGAATCTTAAAGTGAATAAGAAGAAGAGAGGAACTAGAGTAGAAGCAAAAGTGAATAAAGGTACTCAACTCATGACTATATGGAATATATATATATATATATCTCATAATTATGAGATCATCCTTTGATATGATTGGGTTTATATTTTTGTATATATACCTGCCATTCAGAAATGCTGTCATCATTATGAAGGTGAATGTGGTGTTTTGATAGCCATTCACCAAAATAAAAATTTGCCATTTTGAGCCATTATACGCATGCCCAATGGTACATGGCCACAAATTTGCCAAATTAAAATTCGCCAATCACCAAAATTTAGCAATTTGCCAAAATTTAGTCCCTCCAAAATTTCCTTCTGTATGGTAATATATTTGTAGTTACATTTATGACGTCAATAATACCGTATAGCAGGAAATTTTTGAGGGAATTAAATTCGGCATTTTGATAGCCATTTGCCAAAATAAAATCCGCCATTTTGAGCCATTATGCGCATGCCCAATGGCACATGACCACTAATTTGCCAAATTAAAATTATCCAATTACCAAAATTAGCAATATCACCAAAATTAACTCCCTCTAAAATTTCCCGCTATACTGTACTCCATGTACAGTACTTTGATAATAATTATGTCATTTCTTTTTATGTTTTGTTTTGATGATTGATCCTATAAAAAATTCATTATGAACTATGAAAGGTCCCCCTAAGCATTTTACATTTTTATTTCCCTTGGACCTTCTGTTGTTGTTGTTTATGGTGCTCTACCATCACTACATTACTCTGTACCACTGAATGGAGTGGCCAATCCTGTTACATTATTCATTGTTTATTGTTTCCTTTCCTGTGTCTTGTCCTTCACTTTCATTTCCACCTGTACAATTGGGTGAAGCCCTTACTAATGAAACAGTTCTGTTTGTGGAACATGCATGTACATGTACATTCTACATCTGGTTCTGGTGAGGGTGGATCCCGTTATGCTTACATTTTTAAAATTTTACAAAGCATTCCAACAAGCAACGAGGTCTGCCTCCTACATGTCTACATATCTCTTTTTATAATTTTAATTCTCTCTCAGAGCTTTGTTTTCTATTATCAGTAATTTACCGTATAGTGGGAAATTTTGGAGGGAGTTAGATTTGGTAAATTGCTAAATTTGGTAATTGGCGAATTTGTGGCCATGTGCCATTGATTATGCGCATAATGGCTCAAATTTGTTGTTTTATTTTGGCAAGTGACTATCAAAATGCCAAATTTGCCAAATTTAATTTCCTTCAAAATTTCCCGCTATACGATAGTATCAATAATGTATTATTAATAATGTATTAATGTATTGATAATGATAGTGATAATGTTTGAGTACTAAAGGCCATCCATTTATTTCTTTTTTCTAGAGACGAGGCCTCCTCCAAGTGTGATATACAAAACAAACAAATCCGACAGTAATAATAATAATAACGACAATCCTGCTGACAATGACGATCTATTCCTCTCTTCCTCTTCCTCTGATGTTAGCAGTGAGCTGCCAGTCATTAGCCCCACGTCTTTAGAGGACACTCCCTCTCCCCTCCCTCCTCCACATGAGAATGAAGAAGAAGAGGATCAAAGAGAAGTTACCCTCAGGACACGGGGAGAGGATAAACCAGTCAGTCCTGTTCAGGAATTAGAAGAGAAAGAGGAAGAGGAGGAGGAAGTAGAAGAGGAAGTAGAAGAGGAAGTAGAGGAGGAAGTGGTGCCTTCTGTTAGTCATTCTGAGGCTAGTACAGTTACTATAACTACAGCTGGTACTGATGATAGGAGGGATGGAGTACAGCAAACCGATCACTTAGACTCTTTAGTTACTGATAATCCTCTTCCTATTGCCCCTCCATCAATACAAGTATGTATGTACGTGTACATGTACACATTTTTGTAGCACCGTATAGGGGGAAAATTTGGGAGGGAATTAAATTTGGCGAATTAGCATTTTGATAGCCATTCGCCAAAATAAAAATCAGCCATTTTGAGCCATCATATGCATGCTCAATGGCATATGGCTACAAATTTGCCAAATTAAAATCTGCCAATCACAAAAATTAAAGGGATACTGTTGCCGTGTATGGATAAAATTGATGATGCACTTTTCGTAAAATTGACGACGAAATATAATTTTTGGGGACCAAAAATCATACTTCACCAAAGAAAAATGGTAGAACATATGCTAAAGTTTCTTTGAGCATTCAAATTGACATGCAGAAGAACAGAGAGGAAGTCCTGCTGAGGTAAGATGTCAGGTAAAGGCCAGAGAAGAGCTCAGAAAGATATGGACTCCAGCAAACACAGCTACACGGTCAAACTCACCCATCAAAAAGACACTAGCCTTTTACGGACGGCAAACTTGATGAAGAAAAATGCAGTTACGTGTTTACCTCTTATTTTGGTGGAGGTAAACATAAGGCATCATTTGTTGAAGTATCAGAGCTCCAGAAGCAAGAGTCAGAGCAAAAACTGTTGCTACATTACAAGATATAAACCCACAGCCATTTTTTGTTTATAATTAATTTTTTCCATGTACTAGCTCTTCCATAAACTGCGCCCCAGTATCCCTTTAAGCAATTCATCAAATTTACTCCCTCCAAAATTTCCCTTTATACGGTATTTCATAATTTTAGACGATGAGGGAGAGAGAGTGGTTATATTTTGAGTGTACATACATGTAAGACTTGGAAAGTCTTACATGTATGATTTCATGTACATGATTTCATGTACTTGTAGTTCTGTATAATATTACACACTACATGTTTGGTGCCCCCTTTCTGTCTGGATGATGTTATTAAATAAACTTTACATCATTCGTAAAATGCTATTATTCAATTTTATGCATCATAGAAGATGCATAAGATCAAAGTAATAATGTACATGTATATAATGTATAATGTTATGTACATGTGCATGTATAGTACATGTTCGTACAGCTGTATGTACTGATTTACTATCATTACTCATTCCTATGTGTAGGATTGGAACATTATTCAGGGTAAGGGTTGTTTTTATGTGTCTCAAGGAGGAGGAGTTGGGGATGTCTATACAACTCAGTCTCATCATTACATATTATCTATCCCCGAGACCACTCAAGTGTGGATAGAAATGAAATCAGTAGCACCTGGTCAGTTAGCGATTAATAAGGCATGATAATTGATTTTTTGTATACAAGGAATGATAATTGATTTTTTTATGTACACGTATATGTGCAGCACGTGTCTGTATGCATTCTTTTGTTGTTTGTTTTTATTAAATGAACTCAAAAAATGTTGTAGTTGGCTAGCTCTGAAATCATCCCTAATTTCTGTTGCATTTCTAATGCTTTTTAATGTCCTTATAAAATGTCATAAATGTAATATAATATTATGAATATAATCCTTATGTCATACAGACTGATAAGGCATGGTAGATTGAATCTTTAACGTACATGTACATGTACATGTATGCACATGTATGTACATCTATGTGCTGTATGGACTATACACTCTCTTCTTGTTTGTATTTAATACAATGTACATGTGTAAATAAATTTATTAAAATGATGGAGTTGGCTATGAAATCATTCTCAATTTCTATTGCATTTCCCATTGCATGTTCAACTGTTGACCTCATGCTATACCGTATAGCGGGTTTATCTTGTGGATGACAAATTTTGCAAATTTTGGGGATTTTTGAAGATTCGTGAAATTAAATTCCTTGAAAATCAATTTAATACGGTACAAGATGGCAGAAAAGTGGCAATTTGCGAAAATTAATTCCGGAATGGACCATTCGTGAAAATTATTATCCTGGAAATAAACCTGCTATACAGTGGTAGATGCTAAGGTTTACTTAAATAATAACCATTCCCCTCAACACAAAAAGTCACATCTTCTCATTACCTTAATCCCATCCTCGCACCACTCAAGAGTTTCGCGATACCTTCCTAGTTTAAATGTACTCTCGGCTCCTAGTAACATGTAAATTAAATCACAAATACTACATGTACATATACATATACCTTTAATGTAAGCCTTAATGTGATCAGGTTTGATGGACTTGCACTGGCTGGCATCAGTGATAGAAGATCTATAATTACCTACAAAATACATGTAGCACAATTACATATCTATACAGAGTATTAAATGTACATGTATGTCAGAAATAGCTAGAAAAGGATTTTAATAATATTTTTGATACATTATACATGTTCTATGAAGTTTGAGCAAATTCTGATCAAAATTATATTTTTTTTACAAATTTTTTAAGTTGCTAAAAATCGGGCAAAAGTCCCTGTACAGGGTCACTGACCAAATTTCTTCAGAAATGATGAGGTGAGAATTTTCCAGTTTAATATTTTTTCCTGATACATATACATGTTCTTATGTTACTTCTCAAATTTGAGCTGATTCTGTTAAAAATCAAATTTTTTACAAATTTTTGAAAGTTGGTCAAAAATTGGATAAAAGTCCCTGTACTATAGTACAGGGTCACTGACCAAATTTCATCAAAAATGACTAGGTGTGAATTCTCCTTTTTTATATTTTTTCCTGATACATATACTTGTCCTTATGTTACTTCTCAAATTTGAGCTCATTCCAATCAAAACTGGAATTTTTAATGAATTTTTTAAGTTGCTCAAAAATTGGGCAAAAGTCCCTGTATAGGGTCAATGACCAAATTTCGTCAAAAATGACTAGGTGTGAATTCTCTATTTATATATTTTTTTCCTGATACATATACATGTTCTTATGTTATGAAGTAACATATTTCGAGGATAATAATTTTCGTTAACGTTCACGAAAATTATTATCCTCGAAATACATCTGCTATACAGTATCAGGGTTTCCCACAAAGCATGCTAAGTGAGTTAAAGCCTGTTTCATATAAACTGATAATTCATATAATTCTTCATTATAATCATTATAACCAAAAAGTCACCCTATGGTATTTCATATAGTAATAATTGATAAGTACGACTTTTAGAGAAATTTTTTATAATTCGAAAAAATCTAGTTTTGATCAGAATCAGCTCAAACTTTTTAAGCAACATAAGAACATGTGCATATATGTATCAGAAAAAATAAAAATGGCAGATACTATTCTTTTCAATTTTAGCAAAAATTGGCCTGTGACCCTATACTATAGTACAAAGTACACATGTATTTGACCTGATTTTTTAGCAACTTTAAAAATTTGTAAAAAGTTCCATTTTGATTGGAATCAGTTCAAACTTTCTATGCAACATAAGTACATGTATATATATTAGGAAAAATTATTAAAAAGGCAAATACCCTCCTTTTAAATTTTGACAAAATTTGCCTGTACTATAGCACAGGATATTTGGCCTGATTTTTTAGTGACTTTAAAAAAACAATTTTGATTGTTCATTTTTGACAAAGCACCCTGTACTTAGTCAATTTTTTAGTGAGCATTTAGTATCATGTACAATGTACACATACATGTACATGTACATGTCCTCTATTTTAGGAATAGGGCATTGGATTTTTATTCTGCTTGTTTGTTTGGACGGCAACTTATTTATAAAATTGTAATGATTGATAGTATTCACTTGAAGCAAAAATTATGAGAGAAATGTCTCTAAGAATATGACCTAATGTCACTAAATAAAACTAACTAATGATGAAACTGCAGTTCTAAAGTGCTTCAAATGATAGTCCTTCCATTAGAACTGAGAGAGACAGTACCAGTACTCGTAGGTATCTGCATTCCTAACTGCCTTGCGTGGTTTACTTCTTGCCAGATTTTTATTAGCATCGGCTCCATACGCAAAGTCTTTAGTCCTGCCGAAATTGTGTGTCCACTCGTGAGCAAGGATTCCTTCTTTAGTAGCTGAACCACTGGAAACACAGAATACCCCGTAGTTGTGAAAACCAGGACAGAGATTAACATTCCTGCGCCTAAAGTAAGTCACGTATGCATTCCAAGTAGACTTGCAGCCAGAAGGATTGATAGTGTAGCAAACTGACTTACGTCTCAATTTTCTTTCGCATTTCCTGCAGACTCGTTTCACTTTTCTTGCCCGTCTCCTTTTATATTTGCCAAACCAGGTTCTGTACATGCCGTTATTGGCGACCTTTCCTTCGGCTACCTTGAAGTTGCGGCACAGTTTCCTGTGGGCATTCAAGATATCGGTCCTCTGCTGTTGTGTACCGCCGCCTCTAAATCTTG